TGGTTTTAAAGAAAAAGAATTCAATCAGAACAACATGAAAAAATATGAAAGCTCACTTAGGAACCCTACCAAAAGAAATAAATGCCTGTTTCTCACAAATGAAAGATAACTGAAAAGGCATTAATGACTTGTCTTCCAGCAATGTCATTGTTAATTATCCACCAAATACCTTATTTCTCAAAAGCTACTGCTTCCTCTGCAACAACCAGCTCAGTGGGACCTAGGAAGGCCAAACTAGACATTATGGTAAATTCAGCCTCTCCTGGAAATCATAGCAATGTTCTGCCTTTCACTTTTTTGTGTCCTCACTGATTACAATTACAAATCTATACCTGCCCCCTTCACATCAATGGCTTCCATGTGTCAGGAAGATGATATCTGTACATTTACTTTGGCTTCTGGATCTCAGTGTATTTTGGACCCTAAATCCCTATCTCAATTTGCTATATTGAAGGAACTTTATTTTCTAGCAGCCTAACCTAACTATACTAGTGCTTTTTTCTGATCTTAAAGAGAGCTGTTTATTACAGTTCATTCTGTGACCTGAAATACAATCCATCATGAGTGCTTTCATTCCAAAGCCAACTTCTGTTCAGGTCTAACCCAGCGAAGAAGACAATCAGAATAGCAAAACTTGGATTGTATCCATAATTTCACAGAAAGCATTAGCCTCATTCATTTTATTCTCTCTTTTTTCTCCCATCATTCTTCCATCTTTCCCAATTGGGAAAGAGTTATATTTCCCTTTAGTTTTTTTACCTGCAGCTTTACTAACAACAGTGGAAGATTTATTAAAAACAATTGATTAACTACTATCACATGTCACTTCTCCACATGTTTCATTCCTTGCTGCCATTGATTCTCCTCCATTTCATCTCGCAATTCTGCTTATATGATGCAGCCTCCTAAAAAGCTTTTGGATTATGTTCAAGACAATCCTCCAGGTTTTTCCAAAGAGGTAAATCAGCATGTTTCTTCAATAGATGGTTAAAATTTGGGGACAACATAAATATTGAATTTAATTACAGGATATTCTGTTCACTTGCATACTATCCTGCAAAACTCATTCGAAAAATACAGTTATAACTTCATAATCTCATAAATATGAAATGTCTTTCAATGAAAACATCCTAACAATACTTTCCTTATTTTATTTATTTACAGAACTTATATTATCATCTCATATAATAATCCTAGGTAGCTTGCAACAATCAATAAAAAGAAGAGCAAACTCCAAGCTAATCACAAGGCTTTGCCTAAGGCAGGATTGTCAAACTGCTGGCCCACGGGCCGGATGCATCATGCACAGGCCACACTCACCCCGGCTACGCAAAGGCAAAAAAGTCACAATATGTCACATGATGTGAGAGCAAGTTTGACATCCTTGGCCTAGGGAAACACTTTTTAACATAAAGAATATGACAATTGCCTTGTTGAACAAGACATTTTGGGATCAAAAAAATCTCATTCCCATAACCATTTGACAATAAACATTGCTGCTGCACCAGGAGATGGGAAATGGGAGGAAAATGACAAATGATAGTTATTGTTCTGCTATTTGAACAGTAATCTGTTGGGAATTAGGAGAGTGAATTACTAATTCCAAAAAGGCTTAATATTGATTTAGGATCCAAAATCGATATTTAATGTGGGTTGCTCCTCACCCTTCCCCCTGGCAATCTTGTTTTAGTTTATTTATACTGTTATATTTGACCCTTTAAGCCTCCCAGAGTTATTCTGGATAGTCATAGAAATTTAAAAAAATTGAATAAATAGTTCAAGACCATTGCATCTACAAAAAATAAAAACTTACTTAGATCCTGAACATCAGAACAAAGAAGTCAACATTTCTGAAATCTTTACGGGTTTTTTAAAGTTTGGATGCTTTGATTATTATGAATGTTGTTCTTCTGTCATCAGTTTAACTTGTTCTCCTTAAAAACGCAACATTCTTAAAGCAGCAGAAACCAAATCAATTTTCTTTAATAATGCTACACAATTTCCTTTTGCTTACCAAGAAGTGAAAATAATAGATGTGTTAAGTCTCCAACTGGTTTCATATACCTGTAGAATAATAAAACACCTTCAGCATATATTTAGATAATGAACAAACTCTTAAGCCATATTGGCCTTCTTTCAATAAGTTACTTCCTTGTTGACTATGTTCTTTAAGCGCTCCAACTGCATGTCTGTAATTAATTAACAGAGCAAAACATGCACCTTTATTGAGTAGTTGAAGGAATTAAAAGCAATCTTCAGAATATATCTTTCTGCCATTTCCTGTCCATGAAAATTTGCAACCTGATGATGCCCATTCTCTCTGCCTAAAACCAATCTTTTCTACTGGGTATCCCTCAAGCATTTCACAAAGATTTCCAAGAGGCTGGTGCTTATATAATAGGGCAATAGGGAAAAATAATGACTTTCCATTTCAGTTTCTATCCCATTTAATACAAGCTTTTATCATATGGACTCTTTAGGTAAATTGCAATCTTCAAAGAATGAAGATTCTCTACGTTAACAGGCCTAATAATATGCATAATAGTCTTTTTAATAAAGTACTGTTGAAATTATTTTCATGAGTTCAGTCTTCTTAAAGGTTTGTGCCCAAATTCTTTAATAGTTGATTTTGCCTTGTAAAAGTTTTATTATATATATTATATATTTCTGAAATCTCAGTCTGGCCAATGTTTATCTGAATGCTACAATTTGAATACAGAATCACATTTTCCTACAGGTGTTCCTCAGCTTACAATCACAATTGGGAACAGAACTACTGTTGTTGCTAACTGATGCAGTTGTTAAGTAAGTCATCCTGTGACTGCACCGAATTTTAAAACCATTTTTGTTGCAATTGTGAAGCACATCACCATGGTTCTTAAGCAAATCATGCAGTCATTAAATGAATCTGGTTTCCCCCATTGGCTTTGCTTTTTTGTAACCCCAGGATGCTGCAACTGTTATAAGCCACCCAGGGTCACTGTATGACTGGGAGGGGCAGCACAGAAAGTTAATAAATAAATATATCTGGTTACCAAGTGCCCAAATTGTGGTTATGTGAATGTGGGAATGCTGTGATGGTCATGTGTGTGAGGACTGGTTGCAAGTCGTTTTTTTCAGAGTCATAAGAACTTTGATCATTAAACAAATGGTCATAGGTTGAGGACTATCTGTGCATCTTCTACAAATACCATTTGCAGAGTAATGCTGAGTAAAGTCCAAACTAGAGCCAACCTGATAGGCAAAGGATACTGCCAGTTCAAGTGGCAGAGGTTAATTTGCAGGCTCCTAAACTTTCCTTTTCAATAGAAAGGGGGATTCTTACATCCTTAAACTTGCCTGCCTTAGATGCAATAATGGACATTCTGCTAACCCAAGCATTTGTCTGTCTGTACTACTTCTAAAGGTAATATACTAAAATCACCTTTGCCTCACACAAAGTGACCTAAACCACCCCAAGAAGAAATAATATTTGATGGGAAATTAAATTTGTATGTCAAGAAATAACTAGGTTAAGGGTTTGTTTTCAAATATCAACATGAGTTCTGTACCTAGGAAAGAACTGTAGCTCAGTTCTAGAGTGCAAGTTTTGTATTAAGAAGTTTAATTCTTGGCTCCTCCAATTAATAGGAGCAGGTGATGGGAGGGGAAGCAGCCTGGAGAATTATTGTTAGCCCCAGAGGACAAGATCAGAATACAGTTCAGCAACTCTCAAAGTAAAATTCCAGTGGTTTTCTGCACAAATGCAATGTAATACTGGTTAGAGGTTGTAATGCAATTCAAAACAGTGTTTTTATATTCTTTTTCCCACAATGCTTTTGCTTTTCCAAAAAGATCAATAGTTCAGAGCATGTAATTGCAACTGCAGTTTCTCAAGTCATCTCTGAAATTTCATGACCTGAATATAAAATAAATGTACCATTAATTGGACAGGTGGTTTATGTTTTTGATAAGCTATACCTGGGATGAGGTTCTTCTTTTTCCAACTCCTGCTGGTTATATAGGTAGTCCTCATTTAATAGTGACAATTAGGATCAGGAGCTCCATCGCTAAGCAATATGGTTGTAAAGTGTGACATCACATGACTGCAGCAACTTACAATGGCATTTGGGGTACTTCCAGTTGTGGTTGTTAAACAAATTCCACATGGTCATTAGGTGTGACATCTTGAGATTCCCAATTGCAGCCTCCTGCTAGCTTCCCTGTTGACTTTGTTTGTATAAAGCTGGCAGTGAAGATCACAAATGACGATCATGTGACCATGGGCTTCTGTGAGTGTTGTAATTACGAGTCAAGTGCCAAGAGCCAGTTGCCAAATCACGATTGCCTGAATGTAGGGATGCTGCAGCAGCCGCAACCACAAGGACCAGTCATAAGTCTCTTCATTTCATCATAACTGCAAAAAGTTGCTGAATTAAACTACCTCTAGTAATATATATGTCTATTTCCAGCTCAAGCCTTAAGATCTGCTAAGATACTAAATTAAAAATAGTTGTTGTTAAACTTTGAATTTATATTGACAAGTTTAAAGTATTTGTATTCTCAAATAATCACTTTAATATTACTCCTGTGCCAAAACAAAATCTTTAAGTTGGGATGACCAAACTGTGTGCTTAACATGAAGTATAAAAGGTCAGCAAATGACAATGTATGCTATAGGTGTTTAAGCTATGCTTACAGAGAATTTCCACCTTGATTTGATTTTAATAGTGTGGCAAGTAATACCTCTTGATTTTTAATTACTTTTTTTCATTGTTATAGTTTCCAATATTCAGTCAATATAAGGATATAAGATTTAATTTGAGAAATTAACGGAAAAAAATACTGAAGAAATTATCTCCAATACTCAAAACAGCATTTGAAATTAGTTTAAAAGCTACACAACTTTTAATTATATTGTTAATAATACTAATGATTGTGAGAGTCTTCAATCAGTCAATATAATGTTTTGTTGTGAATATTTTTGAAATTCAATTTAAGATGCTTGCTTATTTCTGCAGACATCTTTATACTACAGTCCAACAGACAGACGCGTGGATAGACCTTCTAGGTAAGAGAATTCAAATCTATAAATACAAGTAGAAAGGAGGAAGCTCCTTCAAATTATGAAAAAACTCTTGCTTATCCTTAGTACAGTTCTTGCATTATATGCTTGGATTTCTTTTCCTACATAAAGATAATTAACTATCCTTTTTTAGATTTAAGCACAGTATCGATTGAAGTTTTCCTGCAAATATTTTCTCCTTTACAGCTCCTGTAATTTCCTTGTCCCATTTTCTCCTTGAATCAAGCATAATTTGTCGCTATGTGCTAGTAGTATTTTTCAACCTTATCAACTTCTAGACATGTAGATGTCAACTCCCCAAATTCCCCAACCAGTCTTAAAGTAGCAATATGAATCTTAATTTGCTTCTTTATGTAAATGTGTCATCATATATCTTCCCCACATACCACCTAGTCATACAAAACTAAAACAAAAAAGCAAAAATTCTCAACCAGCCAGAGATGGTAGTATAATAGTTAAGACCAATGGATCTCCCAGAATTAATGGGATTTTGCTTTAATTTTTAATAACAAAAGTTAACAAGAAAAGGTATTCAAAGTAAAGACTTAATGCAGGAATTTATGGTCAGTATAATATTCCAGGTTTTAGAAATGTCAAACTAGAAATAAAAAGCTACAAATAAATACACCTATAAATTATGATGGTAATGTATTTGTATGAACTTGAATGCAACTAAATGTCATTAATCAAGATATATATTTTGATGCAGCCTTTCTCAACCTGTTATCTTGCAACCTGTCATCTTGGTCTTTTCATTTGTGCATGTATGGAGAGGCCAGGTTGGAGAGAGCTTTTTGAGGTGTAAAGCAGAATAAAGTAAAATATGATAACATTCAGAAATCCTAATTTATAATCCAGGTAAATTGGCAGAAAGGGTTCAAATGTATAAAAGAGATTCTATGAATCCATATTAACTTTGATTTGCTCAGTCCAAGGGAGGGAGGGAAGGAGAAGGAAGGAAGGAAGGAAGGAAGGAAGGAAGGAAGGAAGGAAGGAAGGAAGGAAGGAAGGAAGGAAGGAAGGAGTCTATGTAGCTGTAGAAAAAATATTCATGTCACACTTTGGATGTATTATTTTTCTACAAACACATACCCATGTTGACCTAAAGCAGGCAAAACCCATAATTATGGTTTAAGAAGGTACTATTCTTCCATCTTTCTCAAATGCCATATTTTTTTTCATTATCTGACAGAGTAAAGTATAGAACTTCTTCTACATATAAAATGCCATTTATCTCTGCTTTCAATGACCATATGTTTTTATATTGGTCTGACTGAAATGATTTTCTAGTGTTGCTTTGAAATAAAGTATTATATATATAATGATTTTAAATGTTTTATATGTTCCATTTTTATTTTAAACAGTGTCATAAACATTTTTACATAACCAATAGGATAGCTAAACTGTGGAGTAATATCTAAATTTTCTGTCTCAACATAGCTTTGACTTAGGATTTTGTTACCCTTCTACCCTTACTATTTATTATTTTAAAATAATATTGCAGCAAAACAAATGTTGCATTTTTGTATTCTTGAATGGGTGTTGTAGTTTTGGAAATTGTAGAGAAGATTTCCAAGTGGACATGAATAAGACATCAAGATACACTACTTGGCCACCTCATAAGGAAAGCAAATAACAGAACCTTTCCCTTCATCCCAAACAATCTCACAAACATGTTATTTCCATTAGGGGGGGAAATTAAAACAAGGTAGAAGAAAAAAGAAGGGAAAACATTTTAATGCAGCATTGCTTCTTGGCATCTAGTATATGTGAAATTTTTGACACAGCTAAATGTCTTATTTAATTTGACTTTAAGTATTGGTACTGTGGGGGTGCGATGGCTCAGCAATTAAAGACACTAAGCTTGTCAACTGGAAAACTGACAGCCCAGGTTTGAGACCACCATGGTAGCGCAGTGGTTAGAATGCAGCATAATTCTGCCAACTGCTAGGAATTTGATCCTGAGCAACACAAGGTTGACTCAGCCTTCCACCCTTCCAAGGTCAGTAAATTGAGAACCCAGATTGTGGGGGGCAATATGCTGACTTTGTAAACCACTTGGAAAGGGCTGTAAAGCACTATGAAGCAGTATATAAGTCTGAGTGCTATTATTATTGTCACGCAATGGGGTGAGCTTCCGTTCCTTGCCCCAGCTCCTGCCTACCTAGCAGTTTGAAAGCATGCAAATGTGAGTAGAGTAATAGGTACCACTTTGGTGGAAAGGTAACAGCATTTGGTGCACCTTTGGCATATAGCCATGCTGGCCACATGACCACAGAAAATGTCTTTGGACAACGTTGGCTCCCTTGGCTAAGAAATGGAGATAAGTGCCTCGCCCTAGAATCAGACACAACTGGATAGGGAAGCCTTTGCCTTTTTATTGGTACTGTATCCAGTTATGCTAGCAGTGATTAATGAGCTTAACTATTTGCTGACTTCTAAGGAGACATTTTAGACATGTCTTAACTACATTATTATTTTCTTTCCCAGTTCTGCAAGTACTTCAAGTGATTACAGAAAACGAAGGAAGTCAGAGCCTACAGTAACTCAGCAGAAAGTCCACCCTGATCAGAATGTAAATCGATACACTCTTGGTCGTACAGATACGCAGAGCACCTATTCAACCCTTAGGAAGCCTGTTACAACCTCTTCTCCATCTTCTCCATCAAAAGCAAAAGGTAATAAATGAGCACAAACATAAATAAACAGGAATAATTATTCATGAATTCCAAAACAATGTGGATGGATTTCAAATGCTGCTAGACAATCAAAATTCAAGACATAAATCATAAGGATAAATGTGTCCAAATGAAATGCAATCTGCATATCTCTTAATGTCCGATAAATGAATTGTCCCTTTTTAATAACTGAATAGGAAACTGAATTATTGTCTTGGCAAACATTTATGGGGAGTGAAGTCTTAATGCAGGTTTTCTATCTCTGCATTCAATAAGAGCTTTTTTCTGCCATATTCCATTTCTGCAATTCTTCCGTTTCATACAGGTGCTAATATTTCCTGTTTATTATTACTGTATAGCAGCTGAAGTATTTCGTATGATGGCTCCCAGCTCTGCAATGCCACCATAATGATTCAAAATTTTATATTGAAAAGGCAGCCATGTACCATTTACCCAATTGGAATATGACTATTTTCCCCCCACAAATAATTACGCAGGGATGTCTGCAGGATATGATTTTTTAAAAAACCAAGATAACTGTAACAGTACAATTGAAGCTCCATCTGGATTTTTAGGTGTGTCATTTAATTTTGCCTCACCACAGTTGCCTTCTTGACTTTTTGGACCAGGCACTGTGGACATTCCAATAATTAACTGTGAGTTGGGGAAGGGAGAATAAAGATTATCTTAGAGTTGCTGAGAAGAACAGACAAGAGTATTGAATATAACAAATGGGTGAAGAATAGCCACTGTGTGGAGAGGCTGTTTGCCTGTGAAGTTAGTCTTTCTTGTAATATCTAAAATAAACTCCTTTATTTTTTTCTTACTGTCCTTATTATGTACTTTTACTTGTCCCAATTTCATTCAGCTATCCTTCCCTTTCATTCATTTATATTCTATTTTTTGCCTTTCCTTCCTCTTTCCTCTTTTTTTTTTTTTTTGCTATTTATGTTGGAAAGAGGAAAAGGTTGTAGATATACACTCATGTAAGAGTACTTTATGATAAAAGAAGAAACAGTTGCAATATGTATATGAAGGGTCCGTTAATTTTATAAATCGGGTCTTTGGATATAATATTCAGTCAAATATAAATTTAGCTTTATTGCTCTGGATCAGCCTTTTTTGGAGTGTAGCTTCTGGCAGATATCTGTATACATATGCCTAAGTGTGTATGTGTGTGTGTGCACGCATGTGTGCATGTTCAGGAATTTGTATACAGGTGTGTCATTTGCATTCATTATTGGAGCAATCTCCAATATAGGTTTCAACCAAAGTTGACAACCCTTGATTGAAAAAGTGGAAAAGCTGGACATTGCACATGATTTTTGTATGTATTTATGATTCTTTTTTAAGAAAATCTACTCTACCCTTGAATTATCTTCCTTTTGGGTTAAAATGGCAGATGGTTCTTCTCTGAATTTAAAAAAAAAATCCCTTTTTCACCTCTAGAGGTGAAATCTCAGGTTCTTTACCGGGGGCCTGGGAGTTTGATCCTTCTGCCCAGTATCTTAGCTCTTACTAGCACTGCACTCTTCTGGACAGAGAGCTCTAATGTCATTCCTGGGATCTGTTGGAGTCACCCTCCCAGCTTAGGAGTCATAGCCCCAAGTCCTTCCTTCCTCCTATTCCTACCTAGTGGTGGTACTGTAGGAATATATACAGGTAGACCTTGAATTATAACCATTCATTTAGTGACCATTTGAAGTTAATGGTCTGAATGGTACTGGTAATGGTACTGAATGATACTGAAAAAAGTGACTTACTGCACAACCAGTTTTCATTATGACCATTGCAGCATTCCCATGGTCACATGATAAAAAAATTGGGCACTTGACAGCCAGAATGTATTTATGACAGTGGACTGTCCCGGGGTCATGTGATCACCATTTGTTACCTTCCCAGTTGGTTTCTGACAAGCAAAGCTAATGGGAGAAGCTGGATTCACTTAACAACTGCAGTTATTCTCTTAACAACTATGGCAAAAAAGGTGGTGGTTCACTTAACAACTGCCTTGCTTAGAAATGGAAATTTTGGCCTCAGTTGTAGTCGTAAGTCGAGGAATATGTATGTGTGTGTATATATATATATATACACACACACACATACACACATAAATATCATATAGTTAATATCTCAATGTCCCAATATCTTCCACTGAAAATCAGTGCATTTTCTGCTTTAATGTTTATCATTGTTAACAGGGTTTATTTGTGTAAGTGTTACTACTTATTTATATAAAAAGCAGTCTAAAATCCGAGGCATTTAAAATACTTTCTTCTAATGATTATTTAATTGCAGGTCAATTTAACGTTTAATGTACAGTATTTCTAGTTTTAATACTTCGGGGCACAGAATTAGTAATCAGTATTAGTACTTGGCTAATTGTTTGTATATATTTGTAACATTTTCTGTATGGTATTGTAGAATCTCAGTGTCAAATGCTTGGGCAAATAGCAATTCTGTTTTGTTCCGTTCTGCTGGAACCAATCTAATCCAGGCAATGGGTTCTAGAAAATTATGGATAAAGTGACTTAGTTTTCCTTTTTCCCAAATTGATGACCTTCAGATCTGTTGAACTACAACTCCCATCATTCCCATTGTTACCAAAATTGTATTCCAGCATATTGCTTCTCATTTAACCGTTTTCCCTCTAAATACATTGATTAAAGTTTTTAGCTTAAAAACTTCCCCATTGTTCACTCTGTTAAATTACAAATATCACCAATACAAGAGAATAACCAGAGGAAGAATAGAGAAAAAAAAATTGGGGGGGGGGGACAGAGAGAGAGGTGGAGAAAAAAGGAAAACCTTGTTTTTAAATTGGAAAAACTGTAAAGGGGTCTAAGGTTACTATAGACTATCGATTTTCTAAATTGTTCCAAGTCTTTCCAAGTAGGCAATACAGCTATACCCAGGTTTCTATTGGGCTATTTTTTAATGTATAATTTGTATTTTACACAATCAAAAGATAAACAAGAAAATATATAAAAGGAAAGTAGAAAAAGAAAGAAGATAAAAGAAAAGGTACTGGAAATAATAAAAAGAAGAAAGAAAGGAAGGAAGGAAGGAAGGAAGGAAGGAAGGAAGGAAGGAAGGAAGGAAGGAAGGAAGGAAGGAGAAAATTTTAAATGTGGCTTCCGATCTTCTATACAGTAGTTACAAACAAACTTCTACTAATTCTTCCCCCATTAGAGTTACATTATATAGTTCCATTTTCCTCACATTTGACCCTTTTTAATCAGCCGATCCAGAAATTACTTTTTATTTTCATTTTATCCATTTTCAGCAATTATTGGGTTGTTTTTAAATTTTCATTTTATTGCCTGGATTAGATTTTTGAATAGGAGATACAGGGTTTTTTTTTATTTAACTTACAAAGATGGTAATGTATGTGCACAATTTTACAATACGACAGGGAAACTAGGTGAGAAAAGGTACCCAGTTTGCCATTTAAAAACTTTAAATATATATATAGAATCCTTCAATTATTAAATAACTTTCTATATTAATAGTGCAATTCAAAGTTAGCTTAATGGTTATTGTATGTTTTAGGTATGCATATTATGTTAGGAAAATCAAAGTGATTCCCCACACCTGGTTTCTTTCTGACATATAATAATTGTTATTTTCCTGTCTATATTTGAATCTGTTAATTTCTGGCAATGTCTCTTTTTCACCATGCTGCTCTGTGGATTATAAAGGTGGGGATATTAGCAAAGCATATTCATCCCTTTCCAGTTATTCAGTCCCCAACCAGAACACCTCAAATGATTTAGATTATAGTAAAAATTATGGGCAGAGACTAGCAGTTCCAGGTGATTCAAGAAGAGCCATCAGTTACAAGAATGGCTGGCAAATGGCCCGTCAGAATGCAGAAGTCTGGAGCAGCACTGAAGAGACTTCCTCTCCGAAACGCAAATCTCGCAGCTACAATGACCTACTAGCTGATGATCATTGTTGCTTCTCTGATACACAGAATAAATCTGAAAGTATGGTGTCTCTGTTGTGTGCAGACAATTCCAAAGGTGATTCTTCCCTAACCTGGGCTTCCCCGTATTCCTCTGAAACTCGTGGTTCCAATCGGTCAAGGGCACATCTTAGATCTGCCCATGATGCTCCTGGATTTCTAAAAATGTACAAAAGAATGCATCGCATCAACCGCAAAGACTTACTTAATTCCGAGGTTATCTGTTCTGTAAAATCCAGAGTACTGCAGTATGAAAAGGAACAGCATAAGAGCTTACTACATGGTTGGAAAGAATCCTCCACAGAGGAGGTACCAAGGGACATGGTGCCCAATAGAATATCTGAATTTGAAAAACTAATTCAGAAATCTAAATCAATGCCAAATTTAAGGGAAGAAGCATTATCAACTGTAAGCCTGCTGGAACCCCCTAAAAATGGCTTTTGTACAATGAGACGGTTTTCTATTGAATCCTTGCTGGATGAAGAAAATCAAAATAGGCACACTACTCAAATGCAAAGGAATTACAAGTCCAAAACTCTGGTGCCAATTCACATTGAAGTAACTAGCGAGGAACCACAAAGATTTCAGACGGACTATTCAGACAGTGACCAAGATGGAGTGGTCTCTGACATGAGTGACTTCATACAGATAGAAGGCTCATCTTTTTGCAGTGAAAGTGATTTTGATCACTTCTCCTTCACATCCTCAGAAAGCTTTTATGGATCAGGCCATCACCATCATCACAAGCATCTTATCAGCTCCTGCAAAGGAAGATGTCCAGCCTCATATACACGCTTCACCACCATGCTGAAGCATGCAAGGGCTAAACAGGAAACTACCCCAGAAGATCCTAAGCGACAAGATTCCGATGCTGGCCTCTCTAAAATAGCCTTCCTAGTCAGCCCAGTGCCTTTCCGGAGGAAAAAAAATACACTCCCCAAAAAGCAGGCTGAAAAGACTAAATGCAAATCATCTGTCTTTGACGCCCTGGACTCCGCTCTTAAAGATATCTGTGACCAAATCAAAGCAGAAAAAAGAAGGGGAAGCTTGCCTGACAATAGTATATTGCACAGACTTATTTCCGAATTGCTTCCAGACATTCCTGAAAGGAATTCTTCCCTTAAAGTTTTTAGAAAAAGTCCCACACGCCAGCCTTTGCATCCACTGCCTCACGATGGTGCTATTCACTGTCCGTTGTACCAGAATGAATGCAGAAGTTTGCCTCTCAGTGCCTCTTATCAAGAGATGGATGCTACCAACAGCAACAACCAGGAATATGATAATGCACTGTGTTTCCAAGGTGGATTACTTCCTTTTCTTTATGCTTGTGTTTGAGTCATTCACCCTTATCCTTTCTAGTTTGTTCCCATTACATTTGTGTTGTGCACCTTATACAGCTTAGAAATTGTCTGCTGTACAGTAAGTCATTGGACTTGGGGGGGAAAGGTGAGGACAATAACAGTGTACAAAGTTGTGTTTTTCAGACCAGCCAACAAAAGGAAAAAGTAGCCTTTTGTTGTTAGCATTTGAATAGTTACTGAAATAAGAGAGCAGTGATTCATAATGGAACTTACTATCACACAGTGAAAAAAGTCTCAGTTGGTGTAATTTTCATATCAATATTTTTTGGGAAAAAGTACAAAGATTTCCTAACAAAATATATGGTCACCTGATTATAAGAAAGTACAAGATGAAATAATAAGAAAAGAAGCACTTGTTCTAAAATTGTTTCCATCTAAGTTCACAAAATAGTTCAGCTATGTAGAAACATAATTATGGCTGTGTGAACTGAATGTTTGGCTCACTAATATCCATCTGTGCAATGATGGAAGGAACATTAAAATCTACTAATTTTAAAATGGCTACATTTAATATTGAGAAGGACAAGTCCTACATGATAAAACCAAGGAAAGAAGTATTACAGTTCCAATTTCATCTACTTAACTAAAGTTTATGTTTCAATAAAAATAATAATAACAAGCAAATGATCTCCATTAATAGTATAGAATATTTAAACATTCAACTCGGTCGTGGTCTCCTCTGCCTATAGCTTTATAGCTCAGCTATCAGCAGCAAGAGAAAGCCGTGGCTCCTCTGCTACCCCTCACATCTTCTCCAGTGATGCTGAGATTAGAAGTGTTCCTCTTCTAAATGAAATTTCCTGTGACACTAAATTTGGGGGTAAATCTGCTTATTTTAAACCAGTTATGAGCAACATAAAAACAATGGTTGCTGAACCATAGCTCTGAGCTGATTCCAATGGCAAGCAATATAGAGAATTATAGTTTAACAACATCAGTAAAGTCACATATTACCTCTCATTTAAAATAAATCAGGATCCAAGTATAGTTTATACTCTTAGCTGATTGGTAAACCAATACTGCTATACACTAGCTAGAGTTCACGTAGTTATCTACTACTTGATTAGCTTAAAATGAGTGTGCCAGTCTCCTTTGTCCAGAGGGAGGACAAAGAAAAGAGAAAATCTGAGTCCTAACCTCAGGGTGCTTTTGCACCTACCATTATTGTACACCATCCAGCATCACTTCTTGAGACATGGACAGCCCTATAAATTTGGTAAATAAACCAACAACTGGAATTGTTGTGCAAAAATGGGTCCAAGAAGTTTATGGTTCTTCTTGCTCCACGTAAATATAATAAATTAGTCATATTATTTAGATACCAAGGTTTCGATATATGCAGTTTCTACAATTTCTTACATGCAGTAGTAATTTCTGACATGAGAGGTATCGCTAACAGAAATTGCACTTGAAGCTATATTCTGGAAGTTAAAGTCCACACATCTTAAAGTTACCAAGTTTGAGAAATTCTGGCTTAGGGTACCATAAATATAAAGTTATTTGAAACTAATAAATAGAATAATTATTTCTCATCGAGGATTTCTATAAAAATGAAGTGTAGACCTTACAAAGCTGCTTAAAAAGTGTTAATGAACTACATTATTTTTTTCTTCGTGTTAATATACTTACACAGGTATTTTCAACTTGTCATATACTAATCTTAAATATGTTTACTCAGTAATCAATCTACTGAATTTAATAGGCCTTTTCTCTAATAAACTTTGGGATCATGCTGAAAGGGTGCAATCCTATTTCATGGACATTTCTATATAAACAATTGGGTTTTATGAGCTAGAAATATGGAATTCTAGATGTCACTTAATCTGGAAAGCAGATATTTGTTTCATCTGTGATTATTTTACAAAAAATAGCAGGAGCAGTGCTTCAGACTAACAGCATGGTATGCTAGAGGTTTTTGTCCTTCCCTCTTTTCAGGGAAAATAGTCTCCAAGGCCTTTTTTCCCAAAGTTTCCTTACAGCAAATGGCACCTTTGGCAAAAATGACAGCAAAGATAACAGAAAAATAACAGCACTGTACTCCTAATCTTGAGACCACCTTTTCATATCTACTTGTTCTAAAATAAGCCCAGAATACACAGTAATGTGGCAAATGCGTAATCTAATCTGGTCTAATATAAAACAGTCATACATTTCTTTTCTACTGGATCACCTCAGAATTTCATTATTCCATCATTGTGGCATGCTTTTGACGCATCCCCTTGCATGTGGGTACATGTTTATTAGTTTTATGAGTCAATGCTATGTGTTATCTTTTGCATCTTCAGTAACTTATTCTTCTGTTCCTCTAAAAGCAAGAGTTGTAATAATCAGAGAAGATGCTATATTGCTGGTCTTGGTTTTTCTTTTTAATGCTTCAGGCACAGTTCAAAATTGTATAAGTAGTATATGAAATAATTCCCATAGCTTCCTTTCTAGACTTCTGTTTATCAGGATTCTTTTATTTGTTGTTACATTAGTTTAATTAACATAAATTTAGATGTAGTTTCCTTTGAAATAAGCTTCTACAATTATTTTTCATGAATTTTCAACCAATGGCATTTTACTTTCAATAGACCAGGAATCTCCTGGAAACTATTCTTCTGCTTTCACTGATGTGAGTCGATGTATTCCAAAGGAAAGAAGGGGAACTCCAGACAAAGAGGTAATGCAGGAAAATGTACTTAAACAAACATGTTTGAAGCCAGAAGTATATTTCTAAAAACACCTGGAGACCTTTAAAAGCATTTATTGCACGGCTTCTTGGCAATGCTGTCTTTCATCACCAGGGGTTATAAAACAATGCAGTTGGAATAGAAAGAGAAGCAGAGCGTGGACTACAATTAGGGCATTTCTGCACAAGTACTTTGCACCAGTTCAGGACTGGTTCCAATCCTGATTGATCTCATCTATCTTGAGTCATTGAATCAATGAATTTCTAAATTTAAAGTTGCAGCAAAGCTGGTATTTTCCTTTTTTGTTCCTGGTGGTTCTGCAGCCTTTATGAGCTTTTCACTTCCTCATTGTTGGCAAGAATCTTTTCATCATTTAACAGAACTTCTCTAATGTGTTCCCTAGAGGTTTGGCATCTTGCTCTTGGAGGTTTCTTTGTCATATGTACTGATTAAAACTTGTCTTTCCCTTTTCCCTTCCTCCAGTCCAGCCAGTATAGTATCATGCAGTTGTTGGGACTGATGATCTAAATTGCCAAGCTGCTTGTATTTTCATCTCACGGGGCTTTAAGGAGGAACAAAGGAATGGTGGCAAGTTAGCCAGGAAGTCTTTGGTGGATTTCAGTCCCTTTGCTTTTTTTTTACAGTTGATTAGACTGGCTTATGATGAGTTGTATATGTCTTCTGCGTTTTGAAGTCAGGAAAAGTAAGGATAATTGCAGATTGCTTTCAAATTCCTTTGTGAGGGATTGGAGGGCAGAAAAAGTATGCAGTGGAACTGAAGATGAAAGAAGCAACAACTAAAATTGCAACATCTGTTTAACAAGCAATAAATGTCAGCATATTTGTGGGCCTGCCAAGAGGTACACAGTGCTCAGAAAAGAGATTAAATCGCAATGAAAGCAGTTGGCCTAAATAAATGTCTCCTTTCTCGGATGCTAATCCCATTTCCCTTTGTTGATGCTGCTCCCTGGGCCTTTACTATCTAGAAATAGGGAAAAGTTGGAGTCAGTGAATCTCAGGCCTTCTCTCTGAATTTCTGGTCCTTCTGCTGGGAAAGCAGAAATACTGAATACCTCCTTTTACAAAATAAACTCAATATTTTAACAATATTTGAAATTCAAATGTAGGCCTGTAAACCCCCATGCAAAGAATCATTAATATTTTTGTGCAATGTGTTTAATTTTATTATACTTATATTAAAACTTACTCCTGTGAAGGGTATCCTAAAACAGTTTCATTTTATATATTGTGTAACGTACCAATAAATTGGGACCAAATATTAATTAGTAAATATTGCTGCTAGCTGAGGTAGTACTTCCTCTTCCCTGCTACCATAAAAGCAGGTTATCTAAGATTACACAGAGGCATCATGAAGTAGAGCCACCCCGCAACAGGTACCTAAAATGCAATCACGGGCATCACATGAAGCATATGTAGCCCCCTAGTCCCAGTTTTTGGCTACACCAGAGGGACGTTATTTTAGATACATGTTATTTAGATTAATTTATTTGCCTCTATTTCAGAGACTGCCAGCTAGAGCAGTATATGACTTTAAGGCTCAAACTTCTAAGTAAGTATTAGTCCCTTTTTTAACCCAAAAAATCATAATGAATCTTAAAAAAAATGTTTATAGGTAGCAAAGAATATGTACAATAACATTATAATCAATACAAATGACTCTCTATTTCATACATACTTAAACTAATGTTTTACTATTTAAGCATTCTGTAACATTCAGATATTCAATAATTTAAGAAGTAGTGTCCACTGTATTTAACTAAAGCATAACATTTAGTTAAATGTACAGCAACATTTAATGCATAAGAGCATAGCGCATACTTAAAATAATGGTTTTTAAAATTGTAGTTCTTTTGTTTTATTTACCATAGAGGGAATAATAATTTATTTTGAGTGAAATAAAATTGTACGTGTTGTTAATGTATGATTTGAATATGCAATGTTGATTTACTTTCACTTTTGAACATTCTCACCAATATAGTTTTTATTATGCTATTTATGCCATTTTATCAGCATTAAAATAGACAAAATTGCTTTTAGATTGGATGTCTATAGTGTTATAAAAAAAAACACAATCTCTTTAAGCCTGCCAAAGTCCAGCCTTTCTTAAAGCTGGCAAAGTCAGGACAATTTAAATTTTAGAGTGGAATGGAAAAGTGGGATTTCATATGCCACTTGTGCTAATACATTCTGAACCACTAGCTTCCAAGTGGTTTTCAAGGATAGCCTCCTAATATTGCAAAAATCCTGATAAGAGTGGTTAAGGCATGAATGAGCATGTGCAATCAAGCAGAAATGGTTACAATTAGCAAGATGAATTTGTACAACAAGCCTCCTAAGTGGGCCAGTCCTAATTCCCTCCCCTATTCTACAGGTAGTCCTTGATTTACAATAGTTCATTTAGTGACTGTTGAAAGTTACAACAGCACTGGAAGAAGTGACTTATGACCATTTTTCACACTTATGACTGTTATAACAGCCCCATGGTCATATCATCAAAAATTCAGACACTTGGCAACTGACTCATATTTATGACCGCTGCAATGTCCTGGGGTCATGTGATCACCTTTTGTGACCTTCTGACAAGCAAAATCAATGGGAAAACAGAATTCGCTTAACAATCATGTTTCTAACTTAACAACTGTGACAAGAAGAGTTGTAAAATGGGGCAAAATTCACTTAATAACTGTCTCACTTAGCAACAGAAATTTTGGGATCAATTGTGGTCAAGGACTGCTTGTATTAATAGTTGGATTTTGATGAGTCTTCTGCCATTTGTTTTCCTTCTCCTTTACCTTTTTATGGTTCTTCCCAAAAAATATACAAAAAGTACCCAATCATCATAAAGAACTTTGCAAGATAATGAGGTTACATCTAAAAGTGTAACAATAAATGTGTGTATTGAAATGTACATTTGTGTTCTTTGTTAACATCGTTGAACATATTCGAGAAACACATAAATACTTTTTAATGTGTGGCAGAAGCAGTACAGGGTTGCCATTAACCAAAAGTTTCAATTCATACATAATTGAGGAAACAAGGAGTGTAACATAGAAAAATTGAAGAATAAATGGTTTTATTCAAGTGGACAATCATTTTAATTTCTTGCTAAAACACATCCTCAAATCAAATTATTATTGTCATAGTCCTGCATAAAATGTGTCCTTTCCATCCCACTCTGTGGTTTCATAGTGCTGAAATCTGAAATCTGTATCCCATCCTATTCACAGAATGTTTCAGTAGGTCACATTAGGTTGAGTTTTCCTTCTAAGAAATTAGCTCTTCTACTTCTTATGCCAATTTGTTTGCATCTCTGATTGTCTTGTAACAGTGGTAGCGGTGACAAAAAAGAATTAGGGAGCTGACACAGAGAGAACTAAAGGAAAAAGTCTTTGGTCCTAGATAGAAACACCTATGTTTATCTGTTCATTCTTAACCATTGTCAAGCATTATCTGAATTAACATGTGATCACAAGATAGAATGTAAAACCATGCTTAAGAAAAACAAAGATAGCTAGGTGTTATTTCTTCAGAGGACCAAAGCAGTTCAATATTTCATTTACTACACTACAAGTCTGTCCCTTGCAAATTACAGTATAAAGCAGTAAATGTCTTGTTTACAAAAAGATAAAGCTAGTTTCCTTGATAAAATAAACCAAAGTTTCTTTTGTATTTGAGATATTAATCAACATTAAATCAGTAAAGTATTCAAGAAAAAGATAGTAAGCTTTTGTGTTTATGGTTGACCTCACTACCAAATATAGTTTCCAACTGCTAGATAGACTTGGTTCTTTTTTTTTTTGTTATTTAAAATGATAAGCAATTAATATTCAATTCAAGATAGTTACCAGGATGTGAAATCTGTATCACTGTTTATAAATGTTTGTTACAGAGAGCTGCCTTTTAAGAAAGGAGACACTGTCTATATCCTCAGGAAAGTGGATCAAAACTGGTATGAGGGCGAACACTATGGAAGAGTTGGGATTTTTCCTATTTCTTATGTTGAGGTTTGTCTTTACACCAGCAATCTGATGCATTGAGTTTTACAAATAGATACACAGATTGGAAAGGTTGATTAAAATAACCACCATTCTCTCTTCAGAAACTTATTCCCCCAGAAAAAGCACAGCCAGCAAGACCACCACCTCCAGCACATGTGGCCGAGATTGGAGAAGCTATTGCAAAATATAATTTCAATGCAGATACAAATGTGGAACTTTCATTGAGAAAGGTATTTGCTAAAATTGGGTGTTACACCAAGTTTGACAAAGATTCTTTGTTAAGGGGCTTATTCACTCAAGTATATATTACCCAGGGCTATATTGTGACCATAAGTTAGGTTGCTACATCTTTCTGCTGCCCATTTTTTTCTGTTTGCTAATCTTTTTTCCTATATTTGTACTAACCTTCTTTCCCTCTCTCTCTTCCAACTCCTTGCTCTCCCTTCAGCAATGCAAATAAAAAATGCTGTACAATATAGATAGTCCTTGTTTACCGACCACAATTGAGATGTTGAGATGGCAACTTGGATGTTACGCAAAGTAATTGCTAAGTGAAACAGTGTCTACGCTTATGATCTTTAAGTTTCTTTTGCTTTACAGACCTATGAAGATCGTAAATGCAAGGATTGGTTACAAAATTATTTTTTTCATTACCATCATGACTTTGAACAGTCATTGTTTGAAGCATTTGCTAAACAAAGACTACCTATAAACTATTTGAAGATGTTTGGGACTGAATCAGAATCTCATTTCAGTGCAAATACCAGATGCTAGTGTGTAAATCTGACTCAAAACTGTATCTGGAAAAAAGAATTAAAGCTTATTTCTTTCTATACACAGTATATGCAATATCAAATTTTGCTGTATCCTATAGTCCACTTTGAGAAGGCCATTTTCTGATCCAGGTTTTTTTAAGGGGCTTCTTACAGACAGGTGGTTCTTTGCTTGACAACCATTTGTTTAGCCCCTGTTCAAAGTGATTACAGTGCTGAAAAAAGTTATTTATAATCAATCTTCACACCTATGATCATTACAGCATCCCTGCAGCCACAGGATTGCCATTTGGCTTCTGACAAGCAAAGTCAATGGGAAAGCTGGCAGGAGATGACAAGTTGCAGTCACATGATGTATTGCTTAATTACCTTGGGTGATTCACTTAACGATTGGAACTGCCATTGCTAAATGAGTTGGCTATGTGATGTTTCACTTACTTACTGCTTCATTTAGCAAAGGAGTTGCTGGATCCAATTAGGGTCATTAAGCAAGCAGTATCTGTATTTTATTTTAAAAATTCACAAAACAAATGGCCAGTTCTTATTTTTTAAAATGAGATCAAGAAAGTTCTTCCTATTTTCCTTTTAAAAACAGTTCTTTTTAAAGGGCCCCCTACATTGACAGCAGAATTGGGTCTTTATAAAGACATTTTTCCCCTCTAGAGCTAACAGAAATCTCTTTATTTTTAATATTCTGTGTGCCTTCCCTAATGGGTCTTCAAAAAAGGCTTCTCTCTCATAACCATGTTATCATGTAAAAATCTCTCTTGTAGAGGTCTGTGCTAAGGGATGTTTCAAAGATCAATAAAGAGATTTCTTGGACAATGTGCTACAAAGGGAAAAAAACTCTTGGTAAATCAGCACAAACATTTTGAAAAGCAAATGCAAACTTTGGACCCTCCCTTTCCTGTATATTTTTGCTAGGTAGGACTAGCCTTAGACAATTCTTGTAGCTTTCTATGTTTGTCTCACTACAGTTTCACTAGAAGAGGAATTTCCATTCTTAACTGGCAGATTAGGATCATGGCATGTACTAAGAGTTACACAAAATTCGTCTTTCCATTGAAAACTCAGTTAGACACCCACTGATTCTATGAACGGTGCCTCAATTTACTTTAAAGCCTGAACCTGTATGGGAAGCATTTTGACCTTGGGACTTCTTGACTTTTCTTAACTATTCACTTTCATTAATATTCCACCATAGTTAAGGAATTTGTATTCCATTGCTATATATCAGTGATGGCAAACCTTTTAGAGACCGAGTGCCCCAAAACTGGTCCCGCCCCCATTCTACCCCCTGCTCTGCCCCCACCCCATCCCCCACCTGCCCATAGGGCCACTCACCACCTCCAGGGCCCACCGCAGATCGCCCAGGCAGCCCAGCAGCGCCATGGCGGCCACACCCTCTGCCCGCCCCCGCAGCATCAACTGTGCGTGATGGGGCATGAGAGCAGAGTCTTGTCTACGCTGCCTGGCTGCCATGTCCTTGGCTGCACTGCTTCGCGTGGGCCATGCTCGAGGGCGACTCTCCTCCAGGGGGGCTGCTGGTGAGGGGGTCACGGGGGAGGTGAGACTGGGGCAACGGCACGTGTGCCCACAGAGAGGGCTCCGAGTGCCACCTCTGGCACACGTGCCATAGGTTCGCCACCACTGCTATATATTGTATACATTCATGATGGGACAACAATTTTTCATCTGTAATTGAGTGTTGCCTTTCAGGGAGACAAAGTTATTCTTCTTAGACGGGTTGATCAAAACTGGTATGAAGGCAAGCTACCGGGAACAAATAAGCAAGGAATCTTCCCAGTGTCCTATGTAGAAGTCAAAAAGAGCATGGCCAGAGGAGAAAATGAATATCCTGTTCCTCCCATTCCCCAGAGTTACTCAAGTGACAGAATCCACCACTCAGCTAAGGTAAGAAATGATTTGTTCTCTGTACCACCTTTAGAGTTTAGTCCTATACGCAAATCTTGGTCATAAATATTAGTACTTATTTGTTTCAAATATAAAGTTTGTCATAAGAATAAATTATACCATTCTTATTTTGTAGTGAAGATTGCACCATTTTTCCTCTCTTATGTTACCTTGATTTTTATGGTGTTCTTGTATTTTTGCACTTTATATTAAAAATAATGTATTTGCACAGTTTAAGCCTCATGAAAAGCATATGGAAGCCCAGTTTGATACTGTTTCATGCAGACTTACTTGATTCAATGATCTTCTATGGATCACTTTCCCTACACATCAAGATCCTGAGAAATGCCATCCAACTACGAAAGATAATATTTTTTCCATTCCCTGCCCATATGTAAACTCTAATTGAAAAAGTTTCTGATAATCCACTCTCTGGCTGCATCCCAATATGCTCTTTACAAATTACCAGAAGGGAAAGCTAAAGATTAGACAATATTTATCAAACGCTTCTGGATCCAGGGGGGATCTATTAAGGAGAAAGGTAGACAATCTCCCAGAACCAAGTCATCATACACTCACCCAGACCTATATTGAGCCAGGAAGGGCATAGACTAAACCTCAAGTGTCTGAGGTCATACCAAAGAACATTTTTTCCACTTCCTGGAAAGAAAGGCGGGAAGCCAAGAGGAAATCCACATAAGGGAACTAAATAGTGCTCCAGGTACTATATCAGGCTGTTCACCAGAGTCAAATCCATGGTGAATCTGAGTGTTGGGAATAAGGTATGTAAAATGGCTACAGTGCCCAGACAGGATATTTTCCTGTTTATTTTCCTCTAAAAGAGGATTTACCAGCTTAAATAAGGCCACCAGCCAACAACCTGCAGCAAGTAGCATCCCATTATAAATTACTGCATAAATATGTTTTGCTTGCAAGATTTCACGTACATAGGCACCTATATCTTTTATCATTATTCAACTTGGATAAAAAGAGAATAGTTTTCAATGACAAAGAAAGGAAATAAAAATAATGAATATGAATTATAATTGTTTTAGGGTTCTCCAAAGAAAAAACATTAAGATAATATTGGATCTTCAGAAGATGTTTTCATGCTTGGGTTGTGAAAGGAGTGGAGACTTGAGAAATTCCTGGTCCAACTGTGTAATTTTCCAGCATTAGGTCTCATTTCCATAACATTTCTCAGTAAAAAGTGTAACTCAAACTAGAATTGGCGTTTTAACAGTTACTAATGCAAGTTACTTTCATTCTTGCACTAACGTGGTTATTAAAATGATGCAAATACAACATATACTTTTGCTCGTCGATTTTTCTAGTATTGGGGATCAACAGCAACCCATCATATTTTAATCAGCACTTTACCAAGGAAGTTGGTGTATATCTGCCTACTGATACCCAATAACGAATGTTGTACCGTTGGGTTTCAAATCTTCGTGGAAACATAATGTAGCTCTTCCGTTTTCCCTGTCCCCGAGCTCCACTTCTTGCTAAATAAGCATTATGCATAATGCCAGAGATGGACACAACATACAAAACAGATAATAACTTTATAGTAAAATATTTAAATGTGGCAAAACTGTATTCACAGCATATGTAATTTAATATTTTTATATCTACAAGTGGTTATGGGTGAAGATTTCTATTTAAAATTGTTCTTGCTAGTTAAAATATAGCTATTCTTTCTATTTAAAATAACTATTTAAAATGAAATACAAAAGAGGATAATTTTTATATTTTTCAAAGTTTGCTCAGCATTTTGTGGGTGTTCACATGAAATGGAACCATGTCTGTCATTGTCCATTTTAAATCTATGTGACTTAAAAGTTGATGCTAATTATCACCACGTCCATAAGACTATTTTTAAAGTTTATAAAAGTATTTCTTCTTCTGTTTGTGTTTCTCAGTGATAGCTGAGATCCATTCTATATTATTTACATTATGTTTTAAGGACTAAGAATCGTAACTTTGGATTTCCTGTGCAAATTAATTCATTCAAAGTTTCCATTTCTCCCTGGGTATCTAAATTCTACATATAATACAAATGTTAATATCAGACAAATTTCAAACTTTATTTTCAAATGAGGATTTAACTTGGAAAATTAATAACAAAAACTACATTTTCAGTATTTACTGAAGCAGTGGATATCTACTGATGCAATATACGTATGAATCCCAGCTCTTCCATGCTTACAAAAGGACCTTTATTTTACCAGAAGAAATCTTCAATCAATATTTCAGCTTAACCATATTATTTAGCCAATAATGATATTTTTCAATACATTTTGAGTTGAAAATAATTTTCTATTATATGCACTAACTAGCATTTGGATCCTGTGTACCTTTAAGAGAAATGTAATGATGTTGTGAAGTGCTATTATTTTTAAATTTAAAAAAATAGATTGTGTAACTGCAGGGAATATAAATACAATGTACAGTTTTATTGAATCTGTTATTGCAGGGTTCTTGTATCGGTGAAAAACTTAAAAACTTGCACCACCTGAGATTAATTTTGATTAATCTCAAACTATCTCAGCCTGAACTGCATTTTTCTGTGTTATGCAGAACCACTCTCCTCTCAAAAGAATAAGGCTGCAGAAAGGAAAGTTCTGGTAATCACATCTGGGCCATTAGTCACTGGCTGGCATGAGAGCAACATGGTGAATCAAATCTGTCTTGATGTCTGACATTTAGTCTTGGGCAAGAATCTGACAGAGTTTCACTTTCCAGATATGCTGTCTGATTGATATGCTAATGAATTCAGAAGTGTATGCTCAGTGAAGTAATATCCTATAAAAAGGAGTTAACAGGATGTTATTTTTTAAAAAAAAAACCTTCTTCTTGAGCCCAGTCCCTCACCTTGTTTTAATTCCTGTGCTTTCCCTTTATTTCTCAAGTGGGATTCCAAAACACCACCCCCTCCTCCCAGATACAGATTCTTCTCTTATCCAGATTCCAATAAAAGACATCTTCAGGCAATCACTGATGAATGGTTGTCACTGACTCTTGGCTTTCCATCTTCAAGCACACCTTCCCCTCCTCCTCCTCCTCCTCCTCCTTTTCCTAAAAGCTTTCTTTCTGGTTTAGAGGAATTTGGCTCTCTGCCTTTAACAGGTCCAGAGAGGACAGGCCGCCTCTCAGATAATGTCACTCCTCAAATAAAGCATGGCCATTCTGTTCCAGTTCCCTCATCAAAGGTCTCCCATTCGTTCCCCGACTCTTCACCCAAGCCATTTTCTTCATCTACACGTATATCACCTCCTCCAGCAACTCATTTTCATGACCAAGCACATAAGCTTGAGTGGAACCATTTCAAAGGGATGAAAGAAAACCCCACTGTCAAGGAAAAGAAAAGCCCCTCAAACCCTGTTCCAGAAATGCAAAAGATAGCAGGCCATACCCTTGCCCTCGCCAAAGAAGACCTGTTATCCAAAACACTGAAGGAAGTTGGCAAACAGGAGGAACTCTGTGAGGAGCTGCTGTCAATAATTCAAGGGGAGCAATCAAAAAGTAAAGATTTAAGTTTCTACAGACATGCCCCTGAGGTGCCTGAAGAATTGGCAAGACTTCATATAGAGGAAGAGCCAGACCTTGACCATTTAGAGTCACCAGTGGCAAATAAGAGAGAGTCTATGATAACTTTTGAAGGCAACAGTTCAGCAGATACTAAAAAAGAGGTATTTAAACATTGTACAATTTCTGTACTTACATCATTAGTCCATTTTTTTCAATGTATGTGTTTTTGCATGAGGCTTTCTACTACACATTGCAATCCTCAAGAACAATTTAAGCACACTAATACACAACATTCCTTCTTCAATTCTTTTTGGAGATGAGCTGAAAACTACCCTAATGGCTTCTTAACTTTTTGAAAACAGCTACTGTACCTACTATTAACTCTGGCTTTTACCCAGCAGTGCAGAATCCTTGACTCTTTCCAAGGATGACAAGCAGTACCTAGGTAAATGGATTTTTGCATCAAAACAGAAGATGCATTTAATGTCTTATTATGGTGGCATGTATTAAATTTCATTTCAAATAAAGAGCCCTATTTGAATAGGAATCATGGCATACCAAAAAAGTATGTTCGCCACCTTGAATTATTTATAAGAATAATAAAGATGGGATATATATAAATAAATACAGAAAAAATGCTGCACTAAGATCCAATTACTTGTTGCATAAATTATGTAACATATTAGTTCCTTTTATTATTATTATTATTCTAAAATAAGCCCTCTGCCCAGCCAAAAACAGTTCAGTAACTCCATTAAATGCCTTCATTAGGTTGCTGAGTAATGTATCATTCATATCATTCATATTCCAGACCTATTAAGGATAATTAAGGAAAATCCCCCAACTGGCTGTCTAGTTCCCAAGCCATTTTCATAATCCTGGTGTTTCCAGGCAAATTTAATCAGGACATAGCAAAATGTTTGCCAACAAACTCATTAAAAAGGCGAGAACATTTTAAATAATAAGAAATAGGAATTATCCATGATTTAATTAAGACCAAGATTTCCCTGGACACATCTTTTTTCCTAGCTATGCTCTATCCAGCTGGGAAGAAAATTGATCCTTAAATGTTGGAGATGAAACAGTCATATCTTTTGTTGCTCAGCAATATCAAGCAGCCTCTTGAACGGTCAGGAGAAAATGAGGATGATGCTCTCCAGATTTAGTCTCTGGGAAAGTATGTCACTCAGCTTGCCTCCTGATTGGAGCATAATAGAGAGGGTGTGGCTCAAAGGCATATAAACGTCACGTTGCGGGCAGTAAATCTAAGGATTTATGTAGATGGGGTGATGTTTTTCTTCTTTAAATAGTGTTTTGATTTCATACAGTAGATATTGTGACTTGTGATTTTATACCACAAATACTGCTATAATTTGCAGTGTTTAAATGAGGCTTTCTACAGAGGCCTGCAGTAGCTCCTGTTTCATTTAGGAAGTTATAAATTCTGCAGATCTTTTTATCAGCCTATC